AAAAAAAAAAAAAAAAAAAACACACACACACACACACATAGCTGGGCGCCGTGGCTCACACCTGTAATACCAGCACTTTGGGAGGCCGAATCAGACAGATCACCTGAAGTCAGGAGTTCAAGAGCAGCCTGGTCAGCATGGTAAAACCCTGTCTGTACTAAAAATACAAAAATTAGCTGAGCATGGTGGTGCACACCTGTAGTCCCAGCTACTTGGGAGGCTGACAGGAGAATCAGTTCAACCTAGGAGGCAGAGGCTGCAGTGAGCAGATTGTACCACTGCACTCCAGCCTGTGCAACAGAGCGAGACTCTGTCTCAAAACAAAGCAAAACTATAAACTAGAAATAGAAGGGAACTTTTGGGTAGGTGCAGTGGCTCACTCTTGTAATCCCAGTACTTTAGGAGGCTCAAATGGGAGGATCGCTTCAGCATAGGAGTTTGAGATCAGCCTGGGCAACAAAGTGAGACCCCATTGCTACAAAAAATAAAAGAAATTAGGTGGACATGGTGGTTTGCACCTGTGATCCCAGCTGCTTGGAAGGCTGAGGCAGGAGGATCCATTGGCCCAGGGAGTTGAGGCTGCAGTTAGCCATGATTGCGCCACTAGCCCCGGCCTGACCTGGGATGATTTGTAACGTGATGTTTCATTGGTGGTTTGGAACATTTTGGTTCACTGAATTATGCACATCCTCCAAATATTGATACATTTCATTATACAGTATCGAAAAATATTTGTTAGTATCACTACAATCTTAAAAGTGTTGACGTATTTGGAAACTGTCAAACTCAGAATGGTGGACGGAAACTTTCCAAAATTTAAATTTTCACTTGAAAGCCCAAAATTTATTGTTGACAACAAGTATTGTCAGTTCTTTTCCTTGAGTTGACATGCCTATTTTATTCATTTTTAAGAAAGTGTCTGTCAAACTTCCAAGTATGAATAACAACCATAGTTTGTCTGTTAGCTGATCATTCAAGTAAAATATTCCATGAAGAAAAGCAGACAGTTCAGTTTGCAGCTTAAACAGTCACACATGTAAGTTTCCCTAAAATAACCATCATATTTTGGTATGCAGCAGAAGCGCTTTATGCATACTTTGTGTTTTATCACATAACATTTAAAAAGATATGTAGTTAAAGATTGAGATTTTATAAAATGGTTGCTTTTTTTTTCCTGCTTCCTCAAGGATATTCAGTGAAACTGGATTTTTTTTTTTTTCCTGTGCAGCAGTAAAGATTACTTTGACTGATAGTACAGCCTAGTGCAACTGGCTAGATTTGTGCTAAGGCACTGGCAATTTTGCCCACCATTGCTTTTGCAATCATGGTTACAAATATTAACACAGTGAGAAAGGCAAATAACACCTTAGTATTATTATGAAAATAGTTTTACCCTTGAAGATCCATTGAAAGGGTCTTCAAGACCCTTAAGGGTCCCCAAAGCACACTTAAAGTACAAGTGCTCTAACAAATGATTAACTTTCACAGTGGGAATTTCAGGTCTTGGCAGGTCGAGAAGTCATTCTGTACCAATGTTCAGACCACACCACCTAGGTGATCACTTCTTCCCCATGAGGACTGGATCAGCACACACAGTTTGACTTATGCTTCTTTAGCACAGTGGAAGTGTCATTTTTACTCTAGTAATGTCTACTCTCTCCAGAGCTTTCCTTCATGTCTTACTTGTCTCTTGTTTGTTTACCTTCTAGAGGAGAAGAGATAGAAAATAAGGAGGTCATCATCCAGGAGCTGGAGGTAGGGAAAGAAGCATACGACTTCTGGAAAAGTGACTCTTTAAGCTAAGGATGCATCCACATTCAGGTTTTAATTATTTCCTACAAACTGAGTCACAACCTCCGCTTGATAACTTGGCTTCTTCCTGCTACATCTCCTTTGCAGAGGAACTTTACTGTTTTTCCAGGGAAATTTAAAGCCTGTATTCTTTCTCAGTTTTCCTAGTTGAAGTGTCAGCACCTTTGAGGCTGAGAGCTTTTTGTTTTCACCAGAGTTTCCAGCCTTGGGCAGCTCTCTTTTGTGGCAGCTGGCATAGAGAAAGATTCCGAAGGACTACCTCCTTCCAGGGCTCTGGGAAACCCACCATCCCAACCACTGCCTGGTACTTGACGTTCAGGAAACTCGACTGTAAATACACAGACAAGGCTGCTGTGTATTCATTTTAATTGGAAACATTTGCAATTGCCTTATTCCGACTTCATTTTCATTCCTTTCTACCCAGTTCCTCTAGCTTTAGGTTTTTCTACAGAAAGAAGACTGAGCAGGTGGTCAGCTTTACAAATTGGTGAAAACAATGGACAAGGAGTTAGAGTTCTCGGGTTTGGCCCTGGATTCCAGTTCTGGCGTAGCCACCAATTAGCTATGTGACCGTTGGCAAATCATATATCAACTTGGATCTTAATTGCCTCATTTGGAAAATGAGAGGTTTAAACTAGCTTTTCCTCTTCTGACTTCACAATTCAGTGATTTGTGACTATTGTGATTTCTTAAGACATATGCCTCCACATTTCAAAGCAATTAAATACACTTAAACACAAAACTCTGTGAAACCAAAACTGAGTCATACCCTTAAGAAGGTACCTCTTTGGCTAAGTGTTAAAAGATACATTAGGATCTTGCAGGACCCTCAAGGACATCATTATGAATGAGTTATTTTAACATAGGACCAAGAAAATGTTCTACCTGGTTTTTGTTTTTGTTTGAGATGGAGTTTTGCTCTGTCACCAGGCTGGAGTGCAGTGGCGCGATTTCGGCTCACTGCAACCTCCACCTCCCGGGTTCCAGTGATTCTCCTGCCTCAGCCTCCCAAGTAGCTGGGACTACCAGCGTGCACCACCACGCCCAGCTAATTTTTGTATTGTTAGTAGAGATGGGGTTTCACCATGTTGGCCAGGATGGTCTTGATCTCTTGACCTCATGATTCACCCACCTCAGTCTCCCAAAGTGTTGGGATTACAGGTGTGAGCCACTGCGCCCGGCTGTTCTACCTATTTTAATTATGGGCAGAGTAGGCTTTATTTCACTTTGTTTCAGTTAACCTGAGCAGTGAAAAGCTCATGGAAGCGTAACAGAGAGGAGGGAATACAGACTTTAGAGCCAATCAAACCTGGATTTGAAGTGTCCATACTAGGATAGTGTCTAGCTTCTAATTATAATAGCTAATATTTATTGAGTAATTACTATGGGAAGTGTTCTGCCATTCACAATTTGACTTTGGGCAAATTACCTACCCTCTCTGAGTCTGTTTCCTTACCTGTCAAATGGGGTTAATAAAGAAGGCCTGTTTCAAGACTGAGGATTAGAAATAGATGTCTGCAATGCCTGCCACACAGTAGCTCAATAATTAGTAGCTTGAGAGCATTTACATTCACCATATGTCATATTTCCAAGATGCATTTGATATGCATATGCGTCTTTCTCTTATACTCACTAGTTTGGGGTCAGATGTTATCATTCTGTTTTGGTCATTTAGAAAACACTGAAGCCGGGCACTGTGGCTCACACCTTTAATCCCAGCACTTTGGGAGGCCAAGGCAGGTGGATCACCTGGAGTCAGGAGTTTAAGACCAGCCTGGCCAACATGGCAAAACCCCATCTCTACTAAAAATACAAAAATTAGCTGGGTGTGGTGGCACGTATCTGTAGTCCAAGCTACTCAGGAGACTGAGGCAGGAGAATTGCTTGAACCTCGGAGGCGGAGGTTGCAGTGAGCCAAGATCGCACCACTGCACTCCAGCCTGGACAACAGAGTGAGACTCCATCTCAAAAAAACCCCGGAAAACATTTACTGAGAAGCAGGATAGCCTATGGGTTAAGACTAGGAGCTCTGGAACCCTACTACCTTGGTTCAGATCTTGGCCCCGCTATTTCTAGTTATGTAATCTAGACTACATTTTTTCACTTCTCTTTGTCTGTTTCCTCGTCTATAAAATGGGAATAACAGAATTGCCTATCTCACAGGGGTTTTGTGAGAGTTAAATTAATTAATATGTATGAAAACACGGCCGGGCTTGGTGGCTCACGCCTGTCATCCCAGCGCTTTAGGAGGCCAAGGCAGGAGGATCACCTGAGGTTAGGAGTTCGTGACCAGCCTGGCCAACATAGTGAAACCCCATCTATACCAAAAATATAAAAGTTAGTCAGGTGTGGTGGCAGGTACCTGTAATCCCAGCTACTTGGGAGACTGAGGCAGGAGAATCGCTTGAACCCGGAAGGCAGAGGTTGCAGTGAGCGGAGATCATGCCATTGCACTCCATACTCCAGTCTGGGCAGAAGAACAAAACTTCATCTCAAAAACAAACAAAAGGCTGGGCGTGGTCGCTCATGCCTGTAATCCTAGCACTTCGGGAGGCCAAGGTCGGCAGATTGCCTGAGCTCAGGTGTTCGACACCAGCCTGGGCAACATGGCGAAACCCCATTTCTACTAAAAATACAAAAAAATAGCTGGGCGTGGTGGTGCGTGCCTATAATCCTAGCTACTTGGGAGGCTGAGGCACGAGCACTGCTTGAACTCAGGAGGTGGAGGTTGCAATGAGCCAAGATTGTGCCACCGCACTCCAGCATGGGTGACATAATGAGATTCTGTCTCAAAAAAAACAAAAAACAGAAACACTTCCCATAGTAATTACTCAATAAATATTAGCCAGTGTAATTATAAGCTAGACACTGTGCTACTATGGACAATACAAAGATAAGACACAATTTCTTTTTTTTTTTTTTTTTTGAGACAAGGTTTCACTCTGTTGCTAGGCTAGAGTGCCGTGATGCAATCATAGCTCACTGCAGCCTTGATCTCCCAGGTTCAGGTGACCCTCCCACCTCAGCCTCCCGAGTAGCTACGACTACTGGCGTGTGCCACCACACCCAACTCATTTTTGTATTTTTGGAGAGATGGAGTTTTGCCATGTTGCCTAGGCCAGTCTCGAACTCCTGGGCTCAAGCAATCCACCTGCCTTGTCCTCCCAGAGTGCTGGGATGACAGGCATGAGCCACTGTGCTGGCCACAGTTTCTATCTTCTTTGAACCCAAACATGAGAACACTGAAGCTTAGGGTGAAATGACAAGCCTGGGACTGAAATTGAGACTTTTTCCCCATAGAAATTTAGTAGTCTTTATGATGCCAAATTAATTAGTGTAGACTAATAAGCATTAGCTTAATTAGGGACTAATCGATTCAAATTTAAAGTGAATGGGAAAAAAAGTTTGACTTAAACAAAAGCAAAATACTATATATCAGTAAATACCAGTGTTGTTCATTCATTCAATGTACATTTAGTGAAGACTTGTTGTGCGTTATTCACGATAGTAGACACCATAGGAGGGATACTAAGATAAATCAGGTGTATATTCTACTTCAAGTAGATCTCACAGTAAGGAATATAAAACATTTGTATGTGGAATGTAGTAAAGACTCCAGGCTAACTACTGTTCAGTTTGATACTAACAGTTAATTACAACTTGGTAAATCAGGGAAAGCTTTCTGGGGGAGATGACTTTTGAACTATGCCTTAAAGGATAGTTGAATTTGGACAAGTGCTGATGGGTGGAAAGGGCATTTCAGGAAGAGAAATTCCCTTTCTATGCAAAAGTGTAGAAACGGAGAAGTAGGATGGGTGCAGTGGCTCACGCCTGTAATCCCAGCACTTTGGGAGACCAAGGAGGGCAGAGCATAGTGAGCTATGATTGCGTCACTGCACTCTAGCCTAGGCGACAGAGTGAAACCTTGTCTCCAAAAAAAAAAAAAAAAAAAAAAGAAACTCCTGAGCCTAGGAGTTCAAGACCATCCTGGGCAACATGGTGAAACCACATCTCTATAAAAAATAAAAAAATTAGACGGGTGTGGTGGTGCACGCCTTTAGTCCCAGCTACTGGGGAGGTTGAGGTGGGAGGATCACTTGAGCCCAGGAGGCAGAGATTGCAGTGAGCAGAGATCATGCAACTGCACTTCAGCCTGGGCCACAAAGCAAGGCTCTCTCAAAAAAAAAAAAAAGAGGCCGGGCGCGGTGGCTCACGCCTGTAATCCCAGCACTTTGGGAGGCCGAGGCGGGCGGATCACGAGGTCAGGAGATCGAGACCA